AGATGGGGGGAGGGTTGCATTATGTTACAATGACGAACCAGGGAGGTAGGACTAAGTAGTACAAGTCGTGGTATCAGTAGCGCAAAGCGAATCTATTTGAATCGAGACTTTCTCGGGTGCGGAGACCTGTCATTGCTACCGATGATCGAACTTGTGTGGTTTTTCGGAATCCTAAACAGGCTAGAACCCTATGGGGATCCAAGTATACAAATGATACCTACAATGGGCCCGAAACCGTGGAAATATTACCTGCCTTGGGCTAGTTGGATCCTATACATCCCGACAGGCCTCAAGAGTCCATTTCATTTCCATCTGATTCTCTATGATTTGGGTGAGACATTGGGCTGTTTGGATCCCTATATGGGAAAGCGAGAGCAGCCTGTATTGCTCTATGGAAGCAGATATGGTCTAGGGTGTTACTGGGTTGGCATTCGGGGTATTCAAAGATGTTGTCTTCGTAGCTTCATAAGGAAGACTATATAATTGTATTTTTCAAGAGGCTCTGAAGGCCAAACAAATTTGGACGGGCCGCCGCGAGAAGTCTCAGGATTAGCCTGTTTTCGGTGTTCTCTCCTGTTCGTCGGGCAAGGACGCCGTAGGCACCTTCATCCGACATGAACCTATTTGGAGACTTAGACAAATGCGGCATTAATGAATGCTGCAGCCATGCATGATGGAAAGAGCTCTGCATGTTCAGAAGGGACGCAGCTAAGATCCGCTGGACTTGCTGCTAGACCTGCTTGAGCCCTTTGCTCTCAAAACCGTACAGGCTCCACAAGGGGGAGAGGGACCCAACCCCCTCTGTTTGTCGTGACCCTTGAACAAAACTCAATAAGTATATACGTATATATAATAATTTATGAACGAATCGGATTTCGGGATTACGGTCGGGGTACTGCGGCTGCATGTCAGTAGCCTACATGATGACCACTAGGTGTTGGAGAGACATTGTGAGGGTTCATATAGGGAAAGCTAGAAGCATGACGGAGGGTCAAAGCGCTAGAGTCGAGCTGATTGGCAAGCGGAACTGAGGCTGGCATGGTATAAGCATATTTCCCAACAGGGGCCCAAGCATCCAGTAGTAGATACTTGTGACCATGCGTGATCCATGTGCTTACGTAGCTCTTGGAGTTATGGGTCTACTTGCCCCCTCCCAAGAGGTTCAGGGTTTTTAAACCAAGAAAGCAAATCCAGAAAAGTCTGTTTTCAAAAGAGAGAGTCAGAGTTCAAGGTTTCGAACCTTGGGTGTGCGGCATTGTTGCTGGTAAGCACAGCTGCCCAGCTTTCTCCCTCTTTCTCCCGCACTGTCTCTCTCTCTCTCTCTCTCTCTCTCTCGCTCTCTCTCTCTCTCTCTCTTCGCTTCTCCCTCCCTCCGTTAAAGGCTTCTAGGAGTTTTGGGTTTACTTGGGGGCCAAAAGCAAGCATGTCCCCACTCTTGCAGAGCTGCCTTGCTGATGTATACACCTTGTGCCTCACGTCCGCAATGCCACCAAATTCCTTCATTACACCACGGATGTTCAGTCTCTCCCTCCCATCCACAAACTCCACCCCTTTAGCTTTACCATCTACATCACGCTTAACCTGTCACCTCAGATCGACAACCCTGCGCCCTAAACCCCTAAAATCGATGTCCTCAGATTCCTCGGATTTTGTCAGGCGTTGCGGCTTTGAAGCAATGTCCAAGGCACAGAACGAAGGCGAATCTGATTTTACGTATGCTAAGTTGGTCCAAGGACCCAAATGATAGGGTCTAATCTACAGAAGACAATCATATCATAATATTTGGGCCCTATAACCCTATCACTTGGGTCCTTGGACCCTTAAGGGTAGGGTCTTATATGTTTCTGCTCTTCACCGGGCGGGTGTAGTTACAGGCTCATGGGGTAGTTGTCGGTGGGGTTGCAGGCCTTGCATGGGGGCGTGCAAGGATGTACGGGCTTAGGGCCTGCAGTAGATATTATGGCGTAGAAGTAGCGCAGGCTAGGTCAAAGTTCTTCTTATCACGCCTATTGTGGGTTCAGGAAGTGAAGTTAGGATGTTTGCAGAGTAATCTGTGGCGATGAAGATTTACGGGTTCGAATTCGGATTTGGTAGCTCCATAAGTAGGGATGCCCAAAGACCGACCCCAATATGCTAGACTATTGTCCTTACAATAGCCCCCCAAATTTATGATCCTTTGGGTCCTTGGGAGCTTAGGTTCTGAATTCGGTTCTGTGTGATTTGGTTTAAGCTTGATAAATCGCTTACCCCCAGCATTACTACGCCCGCCCGACTCCAAATATCGGACATTTGAACATTCCCTACAAAAGACCCTAATAATTCCTAATACTCTAAATCCTAAACCCTGCACTCTATACATATTTGGGACCATATTCACTGTCAGGTGGTGCTAGGGATTACTGACGGTGGGAGGTTGTGCTAAAGGAGCTGTGGGTGAAGGTCTCATGGATTTCCCACAACTTCAAAGGGCACATGGCCGCTTGGGTCTTGGAGATCAGAGAGATGCAGGCTTCAAGCCTTTCAGGTTCCATTGCCCAAGCAGCAGGGTTGTTCAGATCCAAATGGTATAGTTGTTCATACCTACAACCAAAATATGTTCAAGTGTGAGGGTGCTCAGGCAGCACCAGTGCAAAAAGTTGACCCCAGACCTCGTACTCTGTGCATGGTTCCCTGGGTTGCTGCTAAAAACCGGTCACCATACGACAGACATGTAGTGAATACGATTTCCTTCTTCGCGTGACTTAATTTGAGCTCCTTAGCGCAACCCAGTTTCTGGGACGGTCTTTTGCTTGGGTGGCATCAGTGCCTTCAGCTACACTCTGTGCCCTGACCGACCGCTCCACCCCCAAAGCAAAAGTTTGTTATTAGTCTTAGTCCTTCCAGGCATGAACCGAAAGGGTCTCAAGCATAGGCCCAGGACCCAAAGGAGTTCCCGGCAAATTCGTTCGGGCCCGAGTGTATACTGAATAGCTACATGGGCCCTTTGGGGTACATGTTGGGTCAGGCCGCCACCCAAGAAGTGGCATACAAGAATTATGCAGCTAGCCAAATATAGTTGGCTTTACATCCTCATTGTGGGAACTACCAGTGGCTGGGGTCCTAACCTAATTATTGCTGCCTCGCGAGTTGCCTACTAGCACCCTGGCCAATGCCAGTAGCAACCTACTGAAACACAGATTGTGCTGTCTTCATCGTTCCTTCTACGTCAAGATGGGGCTATTCTCATTTTTCAGGGCCACGCTAGACCCTCGCCCTTCAGCAGCCTAGCCCTTAGTGGTAGAGCAAGTAGAGATCTGCCACCTTGACTAACCAACCAGAAAAACGGAGCCTCAGGAGTTGATAAGCTTGAGCCTGGTCTACTGGACCTCTTCCGGGAGAGGGTGGACTATACCGTGGAGGCTAAGGGCTTCGGGGTAAGGATTCAGGGGTTATTGTTTATGGTTTACAGTAGGGGAGAGATTTGGGATTATGGGGGGAGCTGAAGGACAGTGGTTATGATGTGGACGCTACCTTTGAATACGTAGGTTTATGAGAGTTACGGAGACTTCGTAGGATGGTAGGGCAATGAGAGTTTACAGGCCTTATGCAGAATGGCAGGGGATGTCTGTTGTAGGACGTCCTGGCAGTTGCTTGCGGGTTCGTCGCCCCGGTATACTATCGGGGAAGGACGTCAGTGGTTTGAGCATGCATGCATTGCTCCTCACGCACATCGCGCGTTCAATCCTGGAACTGAAGCGTTGTAAACTTGAGGAATGGAGGCCTCTTGCGTGCCGGCAGGCTAGAAGGAAGATTGGACCTTTCTCAGGCCTAGGGAATGCCCACAAATGGCTGAACCTCTTGCGGTCATTCGTGTTAAATGCTGCTGTTGCATTTGGAGACCGGTTGGGGTCTACAATTCGAAGCCTTTCGGGTTTGGGGTGTATCCACGCCATGCACCGCAGCCAACTTATCAAGCATTCATGACACAGCAACAGTAATGTAGATGCCGGACTTTGATTGCTATGTGTCAGTAAAACTTGTTTTGCTGTTCCAGAAAAAGCCATCATGGAACCCGATCCTAACCTTCGAAGTTCGATGTGGAGTTCTTGAAAATTCTACCGGTGCGGGTCAGGTACTTCTCAAGGACCACGTCACGAACCGTGACACCTTCAAACTTTGTGACCAACACTTTCCCAATGTCAGTGTCATAAATCTAGCACGAACCCCTGAATGCTACCGAACCGTGGATAAGAATGTGTGAAACTTCCGCACTCCACACCGTCAACCCTGAACTGAACGACTCCTACCTCAAGCCCTTCCTTACCCGTTTTTATTTGAACCACCACACATTATAGCGAGAGCAGCACATGTCATAGTCGCAAGAATGACAATACTAGCCAGAACCATTGAGATTGCCAACAATCTTGGCAAACATGTAGCGGCTTTTCTTGAAGCATCCCGGAGCAGACTCATTCGCATGCAAGCTTGCGGCAAAGGCGGCTCCTCCGGGGCACGAGGCAGACGTCCGACGATCCCTGCAGAGTCTGGCAAAGGTCTGGGGGGTTGCAAAAACCGAGGGTCCACGCAGGTATATAGTAGAATGAATTTGGTGTGTGATTGATGCATTTTGGGTGCAGGGTTTCAGGATTGAGGGTTCAGGATTTAGGGTACTCTAAATAAGGTAGGTACCAGTTATAGACTTCAGGGCCCAGGGTAGGCATCAATTGTGGACTGGATTCTCCCGGTGTGTGCTAGGTTGAGCGTCTAGAGGTATGGTCAGGAAAGAGCGTCCCTGATCTCAGTAGTTAAGCTTAGGCTTGAGCAAGTCAAGTAATATAGGGGCTTAAATAATTGCAAATATTATGGTACCATAGTCCATATATGTAATTATGGTCTATTGTACCTCAAATGGACCTCAAAATGATGTTGGTAATTCTCTAAGAGGCCTTGGCTCACAGCCTACACGTGGTAGGCCCGTTGCTGCCATGGTTGTGGCAGTGCTGATGTGGGCGTGACACATTATGCCATGTGAACCGTGGCATCGTCCCATGTCAGGCGTTGTTTGCAATCACCTGCAACACATTCGAGCACCCATGCCCCGGATCCTCAGTGCACTCTGTGGAGTCGATGTTTCAAATCCTGTGTTGGCTCTCAAAAGCTCTGTGTACTTATGCCTGACTGTCATCCTGCGACTGCAGCTGAAGTATTTCCTTTCCTGTTGCCGACTGATGATTGTCACGCTGCACCTCATGCAGGGCAATGGCCTGATACCAGCGGATATGGACACGTTTGATTTCCTTTGCGCGACAATGGGATGCCTCAACCTGCACCTGACGGCCAAGGCGCAGGCTATCAAGCTCTGCCCCATGCAAGTTAATCGCGGCCTGAGGGACGTGCCTCACGTTACTCTGTACTACGGCTGTGCCAGCCGACACTCTGAACCAGGCATTTTGCATCACAACGTGATCCAGACAGGCGTGGAACTACGGGGCCCGACAAGAACTTTGAGCACATGCAGTTTGAGGTTGGCAACATGGTTGTGATTGTTGGCAGCGACAACAACAGGAGTGTCGAAGCCTTCGCATGTCGCCATCAGGACCTCAGCTCCTTACTGCATATGTGTGTGAAGGCTGCCGCCAACTGCAGTTTCAGTACATGTTTTGAGGATGTCTTGCTTCGCAGTAACGCCGACGAACCCCTACTGGAGCGCAACATCCCCCAGCTTAGCATTGGCGAGATCTGCGGCCGGAGCGTGAGTAGGGAAGGTATCCAGGTAGCCTGGGCCCTCATCAATGACGCGCTCTTTTGTATGGCGTGCACACTTGTTGACTTCCTCCGCCACTGGGAAAGCGTTAATGGAGTCACGCCTACATTGCGGCTTCTTCCTGACCGTTTCTGCCACGAGCACAGTTGGTTGTATGATGTCCAGGTACTTGATGCCAAGGCTACTCTTGGCTCGTTGACTTACCCCTTCCAAAGTGAGATGTTGCGCGAGGCGGCTTATCACTGTAGTCGTTGGGGTGTGTCAATTTTTGGTCGAACTCTTCACGAGATTTTCGCCACTTGCGGCCCCACTGTTACTCTGCGCCTAAAGATGGTGCTGTCAATGTTTTGGTCATAAGATACACTTGCTCTCGTTGCCAAGAAGGCATTGCTGCGTGATGCAGCTTGTCAGCGTAGTGCTCTGAGGCAATGGCTTGTTGGACCATATGTGTCCCCGCTGCCAATGTGGCATTGTTGCGCGATGCAACTTGCCCCTGTAGTGCTTCGAGGCGCATTGAGAGGAAGCGCTTGAGCGCGCACATGGCACTGGCTAGGCTCACTCACGCTTCGGCTGGGGTGGGTCTTCAGACACCGGTAAAAGGTAATTCTCTAGGCCCCTGTAGTAACTGCTGTTAACTTGAGCTCTGCTTGTTCGGAGCTCTTTGAATGCAAAGGCATTGGTAGCATCGCAGCCGCCAAGACTTGAGACATTCAACAGGGTACGGAAGTTGCACGTGGCAAGAAGGCGGTGTTGTGCCTTTTGACCTTGAAGCTGCTCATTTAGGAAGGCTAAGAGACTAAGTTTAGAAGATCCAGACCCATCACGTTGTCCTTTAGCCCATAGCATGTGATGTCTAAAGACGGCCTTGCAAACACTTGATACAAACACTTGATACAAACACTTGAGGTACCTTGCATGCCTTCAATCGAAAAAGCTCACATTGTGGAGATTCCCCCGGCAGAAGAGGGTGGCACAATAGAGGTCACACCTCAGTCAAGGTTTAAGTTTAAAGCTTTCAAAGCTTCTGGTTTTGGAGCTATTCCTAGGAATCCATGTATATCATTGGGCCAGTACTGGGCCCTAAAGTAATTAAAGATTGAAATTGGTAAAAGGCAAAGCCCAACACCTAAACGTCAAGCGCCACAAATTGAGCATCTGGAAAGCAAGCCCGCAGGCGCAGGCCCTCTAGGTCTAGAATGATGAAAGGGTCTTTGGTACTTCCAACCCCCAACCGTAGACCTTGCATATCCCTACCGTGAATGAATGAGGTGTAGAGCAGCCCTGATAAGACATCTTCCCTCCGTTCATAATGGGAATCTTTATCATGAGGGCGCTTTAATGAGTACGGGAGGGGGGGGGAGTATGCAGCTGCATTGCAGAGCTTCATTTACGTTTTCTTGATTGGTTACCACAAGGCCCTATTCTGCTTACCAGATACCAGGGTTTACGCTGTAGCTGAGGATCATAATATGCAAGCAGCCCACAAGACCCGCAGCGCTAGTCAAGTATTCATGTTTTGCATCTAATCTATCGGGGGTTATATTGAGGTAATGGATTATAAATTGGAAATTACGATAATCGGTTAGATTCCCCATTTTGCTGTGATGAACCGCAAACATGAAACCCTGAACTCGAAAGCGGACATGCGGGTTGCAGGACTTGTCTCCATGGTTAGACGATGACGGCAAGCAGGCGTGGAGCATGCCTGGAGTTGCAAAGCGTTTTGACAGTTTACAACAACTTCACCCGACTTCACCGAGATTCCTAGAACCCACGAACCGAAGACCCTGATGTTAATAACAGCCTGCAACGCTTCCGCCTGTTATGCAACCATGGGGCCCAAGTATGTATTACTAACAAACCTGAATCTTAGATAGAAATATATGGCGCCCGGCCCGGACCCCCCCAAAGGCCCAGGTATGCAGCACATGGCCTATCTTCTTGACATTGTCAACACATTGGGTGTAAGGAAATGCCTCAGCACATTCAGAACATGAGCTTTGATGCGGTCGCATGATCAGGATGCCATGATCTCAATACCCGATCATGAGAGACCTGCATCGGAACCAGCTCGTAAACCCAGAATCTTGTTGAATCACGAACCCCACCAAAAAGTTGAGGCATCTCAGCACGTTTCAGCTCCCAACCTCCCAAAAGCAAAAGAGGCCGGCATTTCTTGCCTCTGAATCATTATCAGTATCCCACAAATGGGTTCCACTTCAACGTAGATTCACTCGTTTGAAACGTAGTCTTCCAAGATTTCAGGCGGTCTGATGTATATATTATTCGTTCTCACCAGTTGTAGCCAGGTGCGTCTTTAGAGCGTGGAGCAACGTTACAAATTATCTAGATCGAAATGCCCAGTTCAGAACACAGTGAACATCACTGAGCTAATGATCAAAGGAAGTAGGCCCATCATATGGTTTAGGTCGGGTTCACCCTTCCCCCTTACCATCAAAAAGCGTCCCCCCCTAATACCATAAAAATCTCCGGCCTCTAAACAGTTCTATTATTAGGGAGATATCATGAGATATCCATGGAATGCATGAAATAGGTCTTTCTCTGATGTTCATTTAGAGCAGTGCCTTCAGAAATCAACCGTAAGCCGATAATTACCTAATCAGTTAAAGTCATGAAAAGAAGAGATTCCCAGCTAAGTATACAGGTTGCACTTGCAGAAGGTCCCTTTAGATAAGAATCCCGTGAAAAACAGCAAAGATGAAGGAAATCAAGGAGGTCTTTAATTCCACGTTGTTAGATGTTCCTTTTCCTCTGTATACAACTCCTTACCCTAAGCCCTAAGCCCAATACAACTACTTAACTACTTCTGTACAAGTGCATAAAAATTTCAGAAGTCCAAGGAATCAAGGAGATCCTTGATTCTCATTCGATATTCTTTAACAAGCCGTATTCTACAACAAGCTCTTTATAAAGAGCTACTGAACCTGCAACGTTATGTCATCACATTCAACATGACTCAAACCTTTTTTGGTGGGGGGGGGGGGGGNNTGTGTATGGGGGGTTTCTCAAAGATGGGTGTAGAAACTACCATAGGTACGCACACCTGCCGGGGACGCTTTGGGAAAGTTGAGGCTGTGGCGGACCTGGTCCGCACTGGCGACACAACCACAAACTTGGCACAAAGGGGTCAGGAGGCCTTTGACGACTCTGAGAATTTTTGCGGCTTTAGGGGTTCTAGGGACTTAGGGGTTTAAGATTAGAGGGTTCTGCGGTATAGGGTTTTGGGGTTGCAGGCTTCTGAGGCTTTAGGGACAATGTTCGGGTGTAGAATTTCGGGCGTGCGGTTTTGGGCGTTGTGCTTTTGAGCGGTCTTGCAGTACGACAAAATTGTTTGAGTGAACCCTGGTTGGAGAAATCCGCAACTTTCTCCTCTACTGCAAGTCGACGATATCCTTCCAACTTCGAGCTTCAGGACTATGTACTGTAGGGGAAACTTTTGACTAGGGACAGGCTGGGGGGGGAAACGATGACAAGAGGCTTGGGCCAGCAGATATGTGTTTTGAAGGTTGGTTCGACGTGCGGTTATAGCTATTCAGAAGGAAGGGTACATAGGGGTAATATTGGGGCTATATATGGGTTATTTAGGGGTGGATATGGTTTACGCCAAACTTCGGGATGTGGAACATAGCATCGAGGTCCAGAATATAAAGGGGTCATATACGGGATATATTGGGAATATACCGGGATAATGGAAAACTACTATTCAGGTTTTGGTGTGTAGCTAGAGATTCAGATTTGGAGCTCGCTCTGAAAGGCGTTGGTGTCATCTTGAGATTGCTTGCAAGTTCTTCAGGGAAGGGGGATGAATGTAGATCACACACCAGAGTGCCACAAAGCTCCAAGAAATCAGAGCATTGCTGTAGGGCCGTAAGTATTCAACTTTGCCAGGTTCATAACATCCTTTATCAAAACATGACCAATGAACTCTGCAGACCCCCCTCAAAAAAAAAGTGGCGTACCTTTGATTGAAGACGACATTATTCCCGAAAGACCAAGTGCCGCCTACTATGGGAACCACTTTTGACCCCACGTATGTACGAAATGCTTACGTGGACCCTATCTCTGTGGGCCTGGTATGTTTTCTATTCATATGTAATTACGTCCTTTCGGACTGGGGGCAATCTCTAGGATATGGGATTCAGCATACAGCCGACATCGCTGCAAGCGGGCTCATCCTCCCAAACACCATGGTATATGTGGAAATCTAAGTATTTGGGTAGCTTGCGCTTTTGGCAAGGTGAGCCCAAAACCCTTGCATGTGGCCCTCCAAGTTTCATTCATATCCCGACAGCATGGATGCAAGCGAGCACACCGCAATGCCTTTGTATGAAGTAAAAGGCCTGCCAGCCTTGCTCAGTGGATCCCGGCGTTTCTGCGTCAATTTTGAGGGCATGGCTGAGACAATCCCCTCCTTTAACTTACACAATGATCTCCCCGCCCCCAAGTAGTAAACTCCCGCACCCCCTAATGATGAATGTTTATGATACAGTGCCGTTTTCTAGGGAATCGTGATGTGGGGGGCTTAAGTACTTGGGGCGAGGTGATTACAACCGATCCTGTCAGTCTTCAGGAACAGTCTCTGTTCGCGGAGATGGAACAAGAGCACGAACAGGAACGCCTCGTTTGTTTGTATGCACGATTTTGGACAGCCTGCTACAGATCTTGTAAACGGGGCTTGAGGTGTACGTGAAGGGTATTTTGCGCGCCTTGGCCGTGATAGCGTTTTCTCTATATCTCATGTAGAAAAACAGGCTTGGG